ACTAAAACATTACCTGTTTATGATGGCCATGGCAGGGACAGGGGTTGGATGTATTTCTTTTGGATACAAAGCGTGGGTTTGAGCTTTTGTATAGCTAGCGCCTCAGCTATGCCCAGATGTCTTGATTTCACTCCCTTTGATAGATTTGATTGAATCTTGTATATTACTTTGAAGGATTTTTCGAAAGGCGCTGTGTGCTGAATTAACCAGATGTTCCGTCACTGAAACTGTATACACGCTTTTGGTCTCCTTTTACTAACCAGGCTGGGTAGTGTTCACGAGCGCGTTTTTCAAGTCGGCGCTTGGTACGGCCAACGTAGTCAGCTCACATGAGCAAGTAAACTGGTATATGCACGTTTAGGTGGCCCAATGCGATAGCTTGTCTTTCGCGTTCTGGTTGAACAGTTTCTTGCAGGAAAACGTCAGTCGTAGGCTCGCGGCGAAGTATGTCTTCCTCAGCGACTTGGAGAGGCGTTTGCGAAGGATTTCTACTTCAATATCACCTTTGAATTCTAGATTAAGCAGAAGTAATTTCTTTGGAACGGATTGAACTTGTTCGGAAGTCTTCTTAGGTTTGGGATTCTTGTCTATGAATCTGGGCGGGAAACCGTTTTCCATCAGGGCTTTTCGAAGATTACGCAGTTCTTCTTCAACCACTTCCTCGCTGCATATCTTCCGAATCCTCGAGGAAAGAGCGCATATCAGGTAGAATAGTTATTGCTTGTTAATGTTCCTGAACAGCCCACTTGACATCATAAGTATCATCAACATGCCTAAAATTAATCAAGGGGAAATTCCAAACTAATAATAATTTCAACAAATATGTAGCGTATAATCAATGTTCTAGGGGATTTTCTAAAAACTGAAGTACACACTAAGCATCAAATGAAAATGCAATTAATAAACACGTTGATATAGATGAAATATACCAACTAATAAGAAGTAAATCAGGTGGTCAGAAAGTTTAAAATCCCAATCAATAGAAAACGGTCAATAAATATCTAAAGATGGTTACCGGGAGACTCATGAAGAAATTTAAATCATTTCACTTTATCCTAAATATTGCGCTGAAGATGTCGTCCAGAAAGACGATGAAAGCTCCGCAATTAAACCAAGGAGCTCAGAGAACACTATCAATTGCACATCATATTATTTGTTGTAGAATTGAATCCAACCAAATCATGATAGAAAGTGGAATCAGTATCCATTGATTTGTTAGTCTACTTGGTAATGTTCCTAGCATAAACCAAACCAGTTGTTGTGTGAGCTAAAAGCTACACAAGATTGTAAACAGACGACAGGAGAAGATCATTGCAGAACTCTACTCAGAAGTTCACATAAATTCACTTTGGAGACACCTTTCTTATTAGTTTTGACCATTTTGTTGCTCTAATTATGTTCATTACCTGTCTTGCTATATCTCTTCTTTATAATTCAAAAACACTTGTCTGATTTGCAGCTCTTGCCACAATATTTATCTAATATCAATAAAATTAACATTTTACACTTACTCATGTTTGAGTCAGATATTACGTATACGGCTGAAATTCAAATATGTGCTGCATAGATGTGTATAGTTACATCGAGTAGAGTCTGAGGTTCGAACCGTCATCTGCTTACTTCTATAACAAAAGAAGACAAGGGGCGGAAACAGATCGTTTTATTACGGAAATCAGCACGTATTTATATATATTTCATGTACATTATTATAGCTTATTCAAGCAGACAAACACAGTTTTCTGATTGGTTGTTTCTGTTTTCTCGGAAAGTTAAGCCATATATCTGCGAATCTTATTTGCCCACGCCCGGCCGATAACTGCTACTTTGTCGTGGTGGTCGGGCCTGAATACCGTAATCACCCACCATGCTAAGCTAACTGGGACTTTGTGCCTGCAGGTCCTACCATGTCAGGAAGGTTGTTTGGATAGCGGTTAAACTAAAACCAGTTACCGTGCAGTACATGGGCTCCAGAATCCAATCGGATCAAATGGCGTATGAACCCATATGGGTCACCGGAAACCATGGGAATGCAGCTCCTGACGCTGCTCCGCTGCCTTGCGGATTAGACTTCAAGTCAAAGGCTCGGGAGTGGTCCCTTAATAAAACCACTTGCTTCCGTCCGGGCGCCGAGCAGTATCGCAGCCCTCACACAATGAATTGAATAAAGCAACAAACAATCAATGAAACTTATTGCGTGCTATTACACGTGTTGCAGTTTCCTTCTTTCTTCCCTTCCCTATGATAGTTAACGAATACTGTTTGAACTTGTTAAGCATGACTGTTTTCCTTCCAGATGAAGTTCATTATCCGTTTTCTACTTATATATATATATATTTCTCTTCTTTCTTTTTTTCTTTTGGTCTATGTTGTTTTATTATTATTGTGTGGCGCATCCTTCTTGGTGCCATATTGTATCAAGTTTTTATGCGTTTAAATAAATAAATAAATATTTGCCCACGTTAAGTCTGCTGTGATTGGTTGTTGAATCAGCCTTGTTCATATTTTCTCACGGCCAATATTAGTGACCTAGACATTGACGTAAATTAATATCTACCAATTGGCTAGCAGCCTGCTCTCACCACACTTCGACTTTCTGTCAAGCAACGAGATTCATTTTCAGCTTATTGTACTTAAGCCTGCATTTTTTGTGGTCACGTTACAGTGCAAAAACTTTAATCCGTGAAATTGTGAATTCCTTGTTTGTAGTATGCTTAAAGTTTAGCTAGCTGGCTAATAATGATAATAATACACTGGTATTTATAATATTTTAACCGCGTCTATCAGTGCTTTGATGTAGGAGCACGATTTGGACACTGTATTATTACATACATAGGATTTCAGCAGCATACACACCCATATCATTCTGTTCTCTGTAGTCCCTTTTAACTGACTACATAATCGCCCATAGGCTTTCATTTTCCTCTCACAATATCTCCTCCATATTACCTTCGCACGCATGACCAACTCTTCGATTTCCATTTGAGGATCTATCTGGTGCGAGATGTTACCCAATGGTCTCCTTGGAGAGTGTGTTGATGCATCTCCAATCTTCCTTCGGTTTATTTGTTGAGTAACGGATTCTTGGTTGCTTAATTGCCAGAGTTCTTTGTCGCCAATTGTTTCCATCTGTGCACATCTGTCTTTAGTATCCAGAAAAGACAGCTGTTGACAAGAGTCTTTGATAGCTTGGTGGTGATGCGCTAAGTCTCTGACGCACTTAAAAGCACTGCCTGATTTTACACAAATGTTAAGGATCCGAATCTTGTTCTTAATTCTGATGGCAGCAAATTTCCACTGATTTCAGATTAATGAAGTCTTATCTTCGTTTTGGCTCTGCGATCCTGCCTGGATTTGACATCCTCATCCGGCCCGGCGTATCGCCTGTAGTTGACACGATGCTGCCTAGATGATAAGTGAAAAGTTTTTCACTGTGGTAGGATATCATTGCACATTGGGTAATTTTATTTTGATGTAATACGCAGTGATACATGATGTGCATGTTTTCTTTTGTCTTATTTAAGAATGAACAAAAACTGATGAAACATACGGAAGAAATAGCATAACTGTTCAGTGCAGATGCTTTTATTTCACCTGACATGAATACTAAGTAATTATGGAAACTCGTTTTCCTTAAAATATATCTCGTTTGAGGCCATCGTTCAGAAATTATAGATAGTGATTTCTTGTCATACTTCTGAATTGCTCTATCTAATTGTATTGTTTTGATTCTAGTAACTTTATTATTATACTGTCTTCATGGTATTCCCTACATTAAAATTAATTTTAAACAGTGAGCTACTCGCCTTAGAATCCAGCACATTTTTTCACCAACACTATCAATACTCTTATATGCATATATCTTCATGGTTGCTGAGCTGTGGCTTTCTTACATTCCTAATTCGTATTTCCTAACTACACCTATACATCCTACTGCACCACTTTTTGGAAGTATAAGTAAACATTTTTTCTGTACTGCATTTCGTTTAACATTTTCTGCATTTTAGCCTTATATTGATTGTTAAACTGATATGAAATTGCAGGATTATTATCACTGGATGGGTGTATTGTATTGTGTATTCTTTTTACTCTAGTGTATTGAAAAAGAATTCCAATTTATACGTCTACTGTTGTTATTTTATTCCTGATTCTAGATTTTTCAATGACTTTGTAGTAGTTAAAGTTTAGCTTTCTATTTGTCCGTGCGTGCGTCGGCGGTTTAGCGGCAGAATGCTTACCAACTATGCCTGATGTGGTCCGGAGGCTGATTCCCGGTCGCCAACGCACTCCTAGATCTCTCACGTAGAGCTGGTAGTAAACGTGGAGAAAAAGGGGAGGGGGTTTGGTGTGAGGCTAGCAAACCCACCCTGTAAAAAACAGCACCACGGCGATTGGAACTTCAAAGCCCAACTGCTTGAAACCCTATATTCCACTCAGGATTCAAAAGAATGAAGATTTAGTTTTTATTTCTACAATGTTTTATTTTCTATCGTATAAAGAATACTGTTTGGATTGTTTTGGTGAAATGTTGTGATTATTACTACCGATGCTTCAATATACTTGATGCCTTATTCAATTTGGCTCAGTGTCACTAAGTATCTTGACAAATACTTCTGAGTACTTAAGGCGTATTTTGGCTGTCGTTGCGCACGTGAGCCTCTTCACTTTCCTTTCACACGATCTCTTCGACCAGTGATTTCGACTTCATTGTCGTCGAGTAGTTAACACAACCAGACCTCACATAGTGTTATAATTTCTTAATATCAATAGCCCTCATAAGAGATGATAATACGTGTGTAACTCATTGTCAACTGCATGGAATAGTAATTGGCTGTGCTAAGTGTTTGCATTTTAAGAAAAAAGGACAAGTGCTAAATGTCTATCCGGTTGAGTTGTATTCATTTCGTTTGTAAAATAAGTGTGTGCTGTATGAATTCCCCCCAGTGCTGTTTCTTCACCATTCAAATTCTTTTTTTCTGCTTTTCATTCTGTTTCTTTTAAAGTTTTATCACCAACTAGTTGGGCAGTAGCACTTGGAATATGCTTTTGTGTCCTACTCATACTACTGATTATATTCGGAGTCATGTTGTTACAGAAAAGACATCAAAATCAAACAAATCGAAATATGCGAAGTGTACCAAATGGAGCTAAAAAGTAAGTTGTACAAATTATGATGAATTGATGTCCTTCAGTGACTTCTATTATTGATCATTTTGGTCTTTTATTTAGGTTGTTTTTCTCTACCGCAATTAATTTTTTCCCGTTTTTGGTTAGCATTTGAGATTTGCCTATTTTTCTGCGTCATTGAATTTTAATTTCAGAAATTAATTGAAATTTCAACATTATTGCTAGCTCATATGTACGTAATATACGCTTTATAGAAATAATTATGGCCAATAATGTGCGTCGGTCGGTGGTTCAGTGGTAGAGTGAGTGCTCGCCAATCACACCTGGCGTCGTCCGGAGCTGGACTCCGTGGTGACTCGCTCTAAAATGTCGCTTAGCCGGTAGTAAGCTCGGTAAAATGGAAGGAATGGGGTATGAGGCTAACAACGTCGTCATCCTGTATGACTGAAACTTCAAGTCCTCAAGTCTCTAACCCTATGTTCTCGGAACTTAAACAGTGTGAAGAAGAGAAGCGTGCAAGAATGGAGCGGTTGTTACAGGATGTCTTCTTTTCTACTCTTTTCTGTAGATAATGTGTGTCTATTGGATAGAGTCCCAGCGGCTGAATAGCCCATGGACTCGATTTTATATTTTTCTCTGCTTGCTTTTGATCTGTCAGAGCAGTAGATTAATTTTTAAAAAAACATAGAGAGTGATTATTTAGCTCAATTTAAATTTTCTCGTTGTACGATAATTGGCTCTCCTGACCCAAGGGGTTTAGTACTTACTTTACTTTACTTCGGCTATCTCCTACGGGAGGATGAGCCGGCTTCATGAACATCTCGAATCATCGCTGCCCAGGCGCGGCGATCTGATGCAAGGTTTTGCAACAGGGTTATCGAATTCTTGTTTTGTTCCACAGACGGAGTCCGTAGACGGTTTGTAGCCCCAGTCACTCCATATCAGCCTTGACTGTACCAAGCCATGTTTTCAGCTGTCCACCCCTGCGAAATCGCCAAGATGGAAATGGCGAGGAATTTAGAACTGATTTGACCAGATCATTATCTGGTCGGCGCAGAACATGGCCAAACCACCGAAGGCGACGTTGTTGGACCAGTGCTGGAATTTGGTTGATGTTGTAGAGAGTTCATGAAGTTTCATGGGAATTAGGTACGAGTGATGTCCCCAGCATCGCTCAGCCTTTTGTTTGAGAGTGCAGCTCTAGCCTTTACACAACCAAGTGTGACCTACAAGGCAGTAGGAGTGGAGTAGGGAGTCCACTATCCATTGGCAGCCCGTGACCGGATTCCGGTTCATACGCCTTTCTGAATGGGGCCAGACAGCCAGGGCATCCAATAAGCCCTTTGTCCATACGTCTTCCGGTGAGCTTCATACACCAGTCGTTGGAGGTTTGGAATCAGGGTTTAGCCATCTCCCCTAGACTGTCATCCAATGGATAGTCAACCCGGTGAAGAGCGCCGGGCATCCGCTTTTGCCCTCTCACTTCGATGAAAAACACCTCCGCCACGTGAAGGCAGTGAGTAGGACTTCTTTAGGAGAGGCTATGTAAGACGCCCGGTCATATGGGAGCATTTCAAGAGGTGTACGGGGAGTGGCCAGCCCGCAGCGCAAGGCACCCACCCCCGACCATCCTGAGGCTTTGGCGGAAGGGGTTTAGTGTATAACACTGACGCTTGAATCGATGGGTGATGTTTTGCAATCTCAGTGGGAACACTAATACGCAGTGAGTGGAATGAATGCAGGTACATCCAGATGATGAGTCCCGAATAGGACTCCATGCGCACTCTGAAACCCACTGTTAGTTACCATCCATCAGTTAGCATAAAATAGTGATATTTTCTACAATCTCACTGTATGCGTTACTCCAGATTTATTATATGACCAGTATCTTGAAGGACCTGTGTAGAGGAGAGTGTCATGCTTTTTTTTTCGTGCAAGATTGGTTTCGCACTGTAGTTCTTAGGTTGAATATTGTCTTTCTGTTGGCTAGAAAGAGCCAAATGCTGCACATCACTAACCTGAATTGCAAACATTTCGAACTTTGGTATTCGCTCATTTGCCTTTTTTGTTTGTATACACTATTGGTATATATACATATATATATATATATATATATATATATATATATATATTGTTTATATTGACCTGAAAGATTGAATCCTATCTAATAACTGAATAGACACACACATACATGCATACCAAGTGTGGTTCATAGCTAGGTATATAGAAAATCTGTATTTGTTAAACCAGTTTATAATCATAATGTATAATTGACCGACTGACTGAGTGTCAACATCGAACTTTGTACAAAAGTGCAGCTGTTCAACATATCATACTCTCCACTTAGCAAACAAAGGTAGGGAAAAAGGAAAGCAAAATGGAATTCAAAAGGACATATGTAATGAATAGAATTGCACAGGAAAATATAGTCGCATGGAAAAACATCAGGGTTTTACTGGATTTGAGAGATTACAAAGAGCGAAGACATCTGCCTTATTGAGAACAGTTTTGAGTCATATCAGCAATAGTCTCCAATCTTTGGTTCTTAGTATATATCAAGGACCCCTACGACACTTAACGCTGGCTCCTTAGTGTGTTGTTATTATCTCAGACTTAATCATATTTTGTTAACGTTTGGCTGTGAAAGATCTTTTAAGGGTTCATACTCTCTCTACACATACTTCAGGACAAATGTGGTAACTGTACAGAATCCTTACTAATTCAGGATGTATTTATTTTGTTTTTGGTGTTTTTCGCCAAGTATAGATTTGTATCTGATGGTCACTCTATCTCCTTACGTATATTCAATGACTTATTTAGTTTAATTTACTCAACTAGACTCTGCATACTTTGATCTACTAATCTAGGAGACATACTTGGTGTGTGCATCAGCTGAGTTATATGATTAGTATTATTCCATTGTGTTCCTAGTGGAATATAGAGCTGTAACAGCACACCTCCATTTCACCCCCTTGTTTTCAGTTCTTCTCGGTTACCTCCACGATTGCCTTAAAGCTCTCATCTCCTCACACGACCTTCCACATGTCACTCTCGGATATACACCCAACTTGTCATTTCCTAGTTGACTTCCGTTCTAGGATCTTTCTGATTTGCAATGTCACTCAATGGTCTCCTCAGTGTATGTCAAATCCATCCGTATTTTCCTCTGAATACTTGTTGGGTGATAGGTTCTTGGTTGTTTCGTTTCCAGAGTTAATTGTTGTTAATCCTTTCTGGCCAGCCATCTTTTCCTGAGTATCGAGCGAAGATAGTGTTACTGATGAGATTCTGCAGCAGTCTGAACCCAATAAAGTAGGTGGGGGGCGTAATTCACGGTGGTAGTCTGTTGTCTGAATGTCAATAGTGCAACATATTCACTAATAGACTATCCTTATCTAATCGACGATTGGAAACCGTTGGTGATATGATTTGAAGTCATTCGCAATGGAGTAGATGTATTCATCACTGATCATCGTCATCACCATCACCTTCATCATCATTACATTTCTATTTTCTGTTCTTAATCCGTGGCTTTCTGAGGTTTGATAAACTGAACTTATGGAATTCTTTTTAGTAAATCTGTCAAGTCATTTGACAGTTTGGTTAAACGGTTTTTACTACTTTCTAATTGTGTTCAGTATAATACAGATACGTATCATCTAAGTATAAAGAGAAAATGCCTGGCTGTCCAAGTTGCCATACATTGTATCTACGTATCAGGAAAAATAAACGCAATGAAGAGGATCGGACACAGTGGAGATTGTTTCATGATTTCCAAATCCTGGCATTTGGTCGTAGATACTTCACCATCAGTCTTAGTAACATCTTCAGCATTGAATTCTTTAATGAACAAACAGCTTCCATCCACCTTTTTCATCTGCAAATCTTCTTTGTTATGATAAGAGGCAATAGCTAACTCAGTTTTCTTTACATACTGAAGACATTTCCAAGTTTCTTTTCAAATATGTAGTATTTGTCACTTACTTACATTTAACTGGCTGTTGTCTTACTTCCGTCTCGTTAAATCACAAACTTGTTATATTATAGAGACACCAAGATATGTGTCACTCGAAACCGTATGCTTTGCTGGGAAGGGGGGCTGAAAAATTACTTGAACGCCCATTCCGAAGCAGGTAGTCAGGGTTAGAGCAACAGACCCAACTCCTTGACCGATCCACAAGCTAGTGGAGCTGAGTTCTTAAAGCTGCCGGTGACCGAAGTAGGCTGGTACATCATTTAATCCCTTCGGATTCTTGAGTCCACGTACACCTTAAGGTTTTCCAGCTCCAGCATTTCCACCAGACCGTTTGTGGGCTCAGACGTTCGTATTCGCCCTTTCTGTGTTTTGTGAGGAACACCTCTACCGTGTGAAAAAAGCGAATATGACTTTTAGAATGTTGTAAGACCAGAGGAGAAGGGTGAAATGTAAAATTATTATAATTAAAATAATATTTGAATGCTTCTGCACCTCTACAATCGGTTCTCAGTTATATTATGTAGAGCCCGTAACCATTGGTTTTAATTTTTGTCACGGACTCAAGTCAGACAGTCTACACAAATATGAATTGGGGTCTTGAGACAGAATCCTCTGTATGCTGATATACTAATGACATTGTCCTGGTCAAAATACAGTACACAGTTTTTAACGTTTTATTTCAAATTTTCCGCTGCTTGTGTGCAGGAAGAAGAAATATTAATCGGTCAGTAGTAAGCCAGCTTAAATCTCTGTTGCAACAGTCGAGTTCATTAGGAGCGTTGAAAAAACGCCGGGTTGTAAAAGTTAGTTTTTATTTTACGGAGAAATGATAGAATAACACACCTTTTTTCTGCGTATATCGTCAGATATCATCGTGGTTATGATATTATACTGTATTGCGTGACATTATTCTTCGAATGCCTAACTGTATCATTCTACTGTCTCAAACCGTTTATCTGATTTCTCGTTTTAATTTCAGATATTTGTTACTTAGGATGATTGCTTGAGATAACTTTTCAAGTTAAAAATGATCATTTAGGCAATTAAAAAA